TAGAAACCGTTATTAACTCAAAGTACCGAATTTAAAAATATATCAATGGGAAATGCGGCTAAAATCCAAATTCCGATTAGGAGATACAATCATATGTGGGCTATACGGAAACGTGAACCTGTATAGACAATGTTCTGCTACAGGAGATAGAGTCCATTATGTTGTTCTACAGGATGCATATGGGGGCTATACGGAAACGTGGACCTGTATGAACTCTTTTATGAACTCTATAGGCAATGTTCCTACACAGGAGGACTCATTACAAAATTTAAATAGAAAATTTTAAATTATTCGGTTAGAAAATGTGGCTAAAATCGCTAAAAACCCGTTTATATGGAAATACAATTAACTCGAGGCTGTCACTGGAGGTAGAACCAATTACAAACTCTAAGGGCCATATCGATCCACGATATCGTGCAGCTCCTCCCGATATTCGGTATTTTGATGATTTTAGCCACATTTTCCAAAGGAATTGTCTGAAAATTACCATAAGGAGTACCTACTGAGTATTTTAGAGCATTAGAATTGTCTATACATACAATAGTGTATAATATAATATATAGGTTTGGCATATAGTCATAGATTGATATTTTTAACGTTACCATACACGAAAACTACTGATACATTCCCATTTTTTTCCACACCGAAAAAAATGCATTAAACTCCTGAAAAATTCCCATAAATTCGTGTACATATTTCAACTTATTTTCCACCTAGATAACATGTGTGGAATTTTTTAGAGAATTTTTAAAGAAACTTGTGACAAAACGACTTCACTGTGTTGCCAACAACAACGACAACAAACAGGTCAGGTCGATGTGATTCTGGTGCAGGTGTCAAATTGCAAGCGTAGCCGAGAAGGCGTGCTGAGCACAATTTGTGCATGTGAAAAGTCACGTCACCGGTGTCTAAGTCAGATTAAAGAAGTTTTTTTTTCGGCAACCGCCCTACCAAACCCACTCACACACTCACAATATAGAAGTATAACTTGAAAATATTTTTACTTTGGTACATAACGTCATATGGAATACCACTTCTGTTCACAAAAGAACGGATGTTGGATATTTTCTCACACAACACCGCCCCCACTGCCGGTGAGAATCCTGAAGTGGGCTAACTATTTTCGGTTTTGATTCTGTCTCTATTTCCAGTTCTGAGAAGTGTCAGCTTCGTTCCTTATAGTTTTCTTCTATCCGGTTTAGTTGAAGTTTCACAACCAATTTTTTTTGGTGGCGATGGGGATGGGGATGGCGTTGGTGGTTGTGGCAGTGGTCTTGTCACCATGAGTTAAGTTTCCCTGGGGGCTACTTGTCGTAAGGATAATGGGACACTTGAAACATGTTGTCCTTGTTCACTATCTTCGGAACGAGTGAATGAGTGCATGGCATAATCCTTAAGAAGGTAATAGGCCATGAGAAAATAATACAAAAGATTGTGCGGTAAGATGCTGAATGTAAAGATCTGTGTTTTGTTTGGCCTTTTATTCCGGGCCTGGGACTTATTGTCGATAACACGATGCCGTTGAAATGCCTTTGGTGGCGGTCAACACCTAGTATTTATGTCGATTACTTACCAAACGGAATTTGTTCTTTTTCTCTGCTTTGTGTTCTTCTGTGTTCAATGAAGTTATTCGAAGGCGTTGTCATTGATAATAATTCAAATCTCCAGATAAATGATGCAATCCTCTTGAGTGGGATTATTTGAAAAAGTTTTTGCACTTTTTCATGTTCAAAGGATAATGGAAAGGTTTACTACGGCAGCAGAGAATAGTTGAAAGTTAAATTAAAATATCCCAGAAATCTGATTAGTTACACATCACTTTAGGCATTTACGGGTTGTCTGCACAGGAAATTAGTTTGCTCATTGAAAGTGATGGCAAAGAATTCAATAGAGACGGCGGAATAATTGGTTGAAATGGAAAAAATTGAAAAGGTCCTTTTTCGTTTATGTTCAACGCTTTATAATTGCATTCTAATTAAACCTGAGACATAACATCTCTTTTACAAGTATAAAATTAGCAATTGTTGAATATTTCGAACAGATAAGAAGACATTTTTTATGAAAGAAGAACCAAAAATTTAACACACATGTATCGCCGTCTTGAAAATTTAAATGATAAAGTAGCTTAGATAACTCTTTCTGAAATGTTGATTAAAAACTCTTTTTTTGCAAAGTAACCTAAATAGAGAGACAAGTTATCAAGTCCCTCTTCAACTCATTTATAATTTCCAATTTAAAATTCCTTGTAATCCTTGTGTGAACCCGAAGAGATTTTACAACCGCTCTATAGGTCAATCAAGGCGGAATTTTACATAGACGACTTTCGAGCACGTCAGAGGGCATAAATATAGAGAAATTGTCACGACATTTTGTATGGCCTCGTACCTCCGGTTAAAATCCAAGGTATCCTTTTTCATTCCCTCCGCCATATGGCTACAAAGGACATATATCATTTGATTCTCTTAAAACATGTCCCATCGAAATAGCAGTTTTAGACCCTAGGTTTCTTTGGACCAAATCCGTTTCAGGATATTTGGAGTCGATCTAGTGAAGTCCGTCCGTCCGCTAGTCTGTCTGGCTGGTGCGCACCATAACTTTCTATGGGAGTATCCAACTTGATCCAATCTTGATACATCGTTATATAATTGTCAAAGTTAGATCGAGTTCGGAGATGGGCAATATTGGCCCACTCCTTTGGCATCTTTCAATTATTATAGCTATTCTAAAATGTGAAATAAGAGTCTGATTGCCTTCAAATTATTAAGTAATCGATTCTCTTCACATTTATACACCCCAATATTTTCTTAATATAATATCTACTGTGAAGATGGTAGATATCGATCCAGTCTTTATGTAACCTCCCCCACAATGGGGTCAACATTTTGAAAAACCGATTATTTTCAAATATTTTACTCAATACAAGATCAGGTGCGACGATGGAATATGTCGGATTATTTCTCCTCACCAGGTCAAAATTTTGAATAATTATGACTCTCATCGAATTCGAATTTCTTCAAATTTCACACGTCACAATAGTTTTTATTTACAAAAGATCTAGTGTGAAGATGGGAGATATGTGCCCACTTCTTCTGGTACCTCAACCACAACGTAGTCACAATTTTAAATAACCAAAACGCTCATAAAATGCAAAATAAGCTTCCGATTCTCTTCAAATTTCACCCATCGCAAACTATTTTAAAAGAAGATCTGGCGTAAAAATGATACATCCCGTCGGACGAACCCTTCTGTTACTTTCCGCAAAACGGGTCAAAATTTTGAATAATTATGACTTTCATGACTTCCGAAAAAAGTCAGTGATTCTATCACACAAAATATTTCTCTAAACCTGAGATCTAACGGAAATATCTATAGGCCGGTACCTCCCCCACAAAAGGTTGAATTTTTGATCCACCATATAATCGGTTTGACTTAAAAAAAAAAATGTTTACATTCCAATATTTTTGATGAGTATTAAATGAAGTGAAACACTGTGGTGCACTATATCTGGTACCTCAGGCATATTTCCACATTTTCCAAAAATTATAACGTATCTCATATAAAGTGACGGAACTAGTCAATATGGTCCAAATCAGATGAGAATGGAAAAATATTGGTCCGATCCTTGAATATATAAAATTATATTTTAATAAACTGACATAGGCTAAAAAAGTATTTCTGTCGGTAAACATTCTAGGGAATAAGTTTAGATTTGTTCGAATTGGTCACCTTTGGCACGAATTATGGCCTTCAAACGGCCAATGAAACCGTCACACGCTGCCCGAATGTTGCGCTTGCTTGAGGTGATCGACACTTTGGTATTTTTTAGTGCCAACCTTACTTTCCAAAATACTCCAGACACAATAGTCCAAGGGATTGGTATCCGGAGATTTTGGTGGCCATTGTGTGCTGGAAATGAAGCGAGGAAACTCATTTTGTAACCATTCTTGGCTGGCGCGTGTTGAGTGCGATGGTGCTGAGTCCTGTTTGAATGTCCAAGGTCTGCGGCAAAAATGTTTGCGTGCCCAAGGCTTTAATACACCCTCCAAAATATTTTCGCCATTATATTCGGCATTTATTCTGATGACACGGGAGAGCGACCATCGGCTGTTATGTAGGCCCACACCATCAGCATGGCCGGCGCTTGAGTTCTGGTGGCAAAGTGAAGGAGCACGTTTTCAGCCGACCTCTTTGGCAAGTAAACACGATCATTTTGTTTGTTTACAAACTGCTGGACAGCGAATGTCTTCTCATCGGAGAAAACCAAATTCGGCAGTTCACCACTTTCGGCCAAGCAAAGCAAGTCTTTAGCTCTTTTGAGTCTATTTTCTTTCTGTAGCGGTGCAAGTTCTTGTACTTTTTGGAATTTCAATGGCTTTACCCCGAGCATAATTTTCAATATTTGCCGAATGGAATATTGCGATATGTTCAGCTCACGAGCCATTTGTCGGCCACTGTGATGGGGGTTTCGATCTTGTCGCTACTTTACTTTTCGAACCATTTCTGCTGATGTTGCTGTTTTTTCCGTTCACTTCCTTGACGTCGGGCTACGCTACCAGTATCAAGGTAACGAGCGATGGTACAAGACACAAAAGATTTATTCACATTTGAATGCTGGAGTGCTCTAACGGTAGCCATTTGTGGTTTTCCAGCCAAATATAAAGAAATCACACTATCACGCTTGAATTCCATCAGTAATAACTTTTTTTCTGGATAATTCTCACAAAAATGCTTTTGTACGCCTGTAAGTAATATAATGAGCTGTCACTGGAATTATTTTAACAGCTGTCGTATGAGTGGCTTAGAAATGATAGCAGTCAGAAGTTGGTTGCAGTTTTTTCATCTCACCCTGTATACATATATGAATACAACACATCCTCGCTTTAAGTTCTTCAAGTTTGGATTATTTTGTTAATTGTTATAATTTTTCAATACAATTATTGAAAATTTCCCCTTAATGCTAAAGGTGACACGATGATTAGTAATATGTAATTTTGACTTACCACCATATTATTAATTGTAAATTTAAGCTCGGCTCTAGGTCTGGAAGGAGGTGTACTACAATTAGCTCTTAGAATATCGCCCGGTTCATAGCGTGTTTGTTCTGTAAACAATAATGGACGCTTGTCGGGAAGTTCTGGAAATAAAAGAAAACAATTAAATACAAAATATTAAAGAGAAAATACATGAAAACAAATGTATATTTACATAACATTTTTGTTAACGAAATCTTTAAAAATCAACCAACTTCCTAACGGCCTTTTTCAAACTTTCATTTTAAAATATAACATTGCGGCCTAACTTACAAAAAATATTTTTTTTTGCTGTCATTCCCGCAACATTTAGTGGGGACCAACAAATTAGATTTAAACCACACACACACACACACACAAACAAATTAAGTTACCCCAATGTCAAATGGCAAAAAGATAAATGTCTGTGGCCAAAATAATTAATAAAGTAAATGTAATGAAATTGTGCTCAAAACCTAATCCTGCGATATTAATTTAATACAAAGACCCGCAAAACATTATGTGTAATTATAGTTAATGAATTTAAAAAGAATTAACAAATAGAAAAATGAGAGAAAATTCCCTCAGTCCCATGAGGAGAAATCATCACTAATGCACAATGACAAATCTAATTATCCCAAAAATACGAAGAAGAAACAAACCCACAAACCCAGAAAAAAAGAACGTAGAATGAGTGACAAAAACAGTTCAAATATACGCAGGCACGGTGACAAAAACAACTACAAAAAGTAATACTAAAACAAAGCACAGCCACTAAACTATGGCATGGTTCCATAACAACGCCTGTGTGTCCGTCCCTCAAGGGAAGCAGACGGAGGCAAGTTGGTCGTTCGTTGTCACACAGGCGGTGGACATATTTAGGATAAGTAAATAAAACAATTATGCCCAAGTTTAACAAGAATACGTATGGCTAGCTATGTGTGCAAATGAGTCAAAATACGTGTGTGTGTGTGTGCTCGCCACAGTACTTGTGACACATACATAAGTAATTCCTTATGGCTGTATTGTAAGAGCAGAACAAACAAGCATATTGTTTTACGCACTAACAGTTCTACGTCTGTATGTCTATTCACAATGGCATCTGTTCTTGGTATGGTATGGTATGCGATGCGATGTGATGGAGTATCACATATGATACATATGTTCCTACATATATTATAGGCTTTTTGGAGCAGGATATTTGGCAATGTAGCAGCATGCGGTTATTGAATTATGATTTATTACGAGATTTCATTTTAATCAATCTCTTCAGCTTCGTCTCTTTAAAACGTCATAATAATTAGCATTAGCAAATTAAATTATTTTATTATTATCCCTAATCTGATATCCCAATTCAATTGTCCAAGATTGTACATATATTTTCAAGTATATTACATTGGTTTATGCCAAAACTATTGTGCCAACAACTCCTTATGTTTTCTTTTGGTCCCCTGTTCCAGGTTATTCGAGTTTGCTTAGCAAACCTAGACCATGTGACAAAAACAAATAATAGGAAAGAATGGACACATGCCAAAAGCGGGGGGAGAAAACAATCTCAGTTATAGTAAATTAGACTTTAGCACCATATGGAACACACACACACACATATATATGCTACTTCAAATGACAGTAGGAGGCCCACTTGTGTATATCAAAATATTAACACGAACTCACAACATTATATATGTAAAGGTGAGAATATTAAAGGGTCCATAAAATTAAAGAACATTTATCATATTATGATAAAGGTACCTAAGCTATGTGTAAGACTCCATAGTTAATAATTTATTGTTTTTCTTTTACTGCACATTACTTATCGCTGAGGGCATTCGAAAAAAAAATTTGGTATCTAATACTAAAATACACCACTTTATAGATTGTTACCTCAGTAAAACTATTTTTGAAAAAACAATGAAGATGCTCCGACCTCAAGAATGTTAATTATTGCCATTTCTATCAAACTATTTATCGAAACGTGTATTATGTGAGGTAAGGAATTTCCAGAGAATAATTTTTAGGAATTTTTTGAGAATATTTAAGATTTTCATTTTCAGGAAGAAAAGCAAATAAATTTCTTTAGAAAAAATACTATGGGTGTTTTCAGATCTTATAAATTACATAAAATATATGTAAGATGCAATGCCTATGTTAAATAAAACACTCTTGAAAATGTGTCTTTAGGCGACGATGTGAATTTGCTACCAGAGGGTACAGTACATATTACGAACTAAAAGTGCAAAATTTCAAACAATTATATTTCAAAAATGCCCGTATATGGGCAATATTCCAAACAGAACTCTAAACTCTAATGCAATTTAAAAAAAAAATAATTCGTTGAACAATATGACTAGAATTATCCAAATATTGAATCTATATCAAAATACCTGGGGATTTAGATCTGAATGTAGTGACTATTAAAAACTCAATATACCAAATTTGAAAATATGTCTAAAATCACCAAAAGACAGAATACTGGGAGGAAAGAACAAAGACGTCAAAAAATTCCGTTGGAAATTTTTGAAAAAATGCGGATAATCGGGAATAGCACCAGGAAAATATAGACACGTGAAGTCATTTTTTTTTTTTGGCTGTGGAAATAGGGTCATTAGTAACGCCGAATATCAAATTACAAATCGATTAGATGGAAAATGTGTCTACAATCATCAAAATACTGAATATCGACAGAAATATTTCAATATTTGGATAATTCTAGTCATATATATATATATATATATATATATATGTATATATATATATATATATATATATATATATATATATATATATATATATATATATATATATATATATATATATATATATATATATATATATATTTATATATTTTTATCGTGGACTTTTGAATAGTATTTTGTTAAGGACCTACAGACCGTTGAATTTGGAATTTGAATTTTATAAATATTTTCTTTAGATATATATTTTTTAAAAAAATATTTTCTTCAGATTATTAATTTTAGCAGATTTCATTTAGCAGATTTAATTCTAAAAAATATCCACTATCAAATAAAGAGAGCGTAAAAACGATTTTTTTTATCATAAATACCCTGAGTTAAAATAAATGATGTTGAAATTGTTTAAAAAGTTTTAAAAAGTTATATAGTTCCGCATTTTCGTGTAGGCCATATATATACATACATATATATACATATATATATATATATATAAATATATATATATATATATATATATATATATATATATATATATATATATATATATATATATATATATATATATATATATATATTTATATATATATATGTATATATATGTATGTATATATATGGCCTACACGAAAATGCGGAACTATATAACTTTTTAAAACTTTTTAAACAATTTCAACATCATTTATTTTAACTCAGGGTATTTATGATAAAAAAAATCGTTTTTACGCTCTCTTTTTTTGATAGTGGATATTTTTTAGAATTAAATCTGCTAAATGAAATCTGCTAAAATTAATAATCTGAAGAAAATATTTTTTTAAAAAATATATATCTAAAGAAAATATTTATAAAATTCAAATTCCAAATTCAACGGTCTGTAGGTCCTTAACAAAATACTATTCAAAAGTCCACGATAAAAAATTCTAAATTTCCAAATGTCATTTAAAATCAGTGATCAAGGCTTCAAAATTCTCCAAAAATGTGCGTTTAAAGCTTTTAAGTCCTTTAAAAAAAATCTAGATTAAAATTCGAAAGGTTTTTTATAAAAATATCGTTTAAACACGATTTGTCCAATGAATATAATTAAAAATACATTGTGAAAGCTGTTAAAAAAATATTTTTTAAATACCACTATCTTCCAAGGCTTTAACAATTTTTCAATAATCCACTATCAAAGTAATGAAGGTACTTATGAATATAATACCTATAATACCCACAAACATAGTAATACTTGGACGATTACTCTTCTTTATATACGGAAATGTGCGGAACGGCATACATGTCCTTGAAATTCCACAATTATATCTTGAAAGAAATTTTAGAAATCCCCTATTATACTTTGGAAAAAATAATCTGTTATATTCATTTCTCAAATATCATTTTCTTAATATTTTTAAAAACATCACTATTATGTCCACAATATACCTTTAAACCATATTCGTAAAAAATCGACATTTATACCTTGAATATAGAGAGGAGTTGCATTCATTTCTCAAATATTATGACTCTGAAGTATTTTAAAACAGTATTCTAAAAAATCGACCATTATAACTAGAAAAGTATAGCTCTGATATTGCTTTTTAAACGTTTATATAAAATATTATTAAAGAGTAATCTACTATTATAGCTTAAAAATCAAAGCTCTAGAAGTTCTTTCACAAATAGCATTTTAAATATCATTTTGAAATATTCTTAAAAAAAGCTAATGTTCTTGATATACCCTAATGCAATATTCCTATAATCCATGATCATACATTGAAAAAATAAAAAGGTCATTTCTTAAAAATCTACAATTATTACTCATAAGATAATATAAAGAATATTCTGAAAATTCCTTTTATTATAGAACTAATTTTCCTTAAATATATGCTCTGAAATACGATCAAGAACCTAATATTCTTCAAAAACTATTCTTTTCTACTGCGATTGTCCTTTGCAATATTTCCTGCAAATCCACGATAATAGCAGGGCTGTGGAAAAATATTACAGTTATGAAGAAGTTACAATTTATTCGTAAAAATCCACGATAATAGAAACAAGTAAAAAAGCAGTAAGTTCGGCCTGACCGAACTTTGAGTACCCTGTGAACAGTACTCAGAAGGAACTACTTGTGTGGATTTTCAGAAAATTTCATTCAAAATTTTGGCTACAATCATCAAAATACCGAATATCGGGATACCTGCAGACAAAAGACTGATCTGTACAAAATGTTACCTTCCTATCTTTATTCGTTTTGACTCTAGCGTGATTACTGCAGACAGACAGGGCTACATAGTCTTAGAATTTACGATGATGAAAAATATATATGCTTTGTTAGGTGTAAACTTATTATTTCTATGAGTTACACACGAAATGACGTACTTAATAAACCCTCCATACTTAGTATGGTGGAGGGTATAAAAATCTTATATTATAGATGTAAAAACAACTAAAAAACACGT